AAATAGCATAAATCTATTCAACGTAAGACAATTAACAGTACAAAGTGATGTCTTGAGTTCCCTATTCAATAAAAAGTGATGTAGCTACCCTTGGTTATATGAGTTGTTAACATATATCAGGAGATGGCAATTGGTCAGTTTATATTTTCTTGCTAAAACAAATTTTAGTGATGCCTTCAGATATACTGCTCTTGCTTCATTTTTCTGGCGGAGAAAGAGAGATCCTAATGTTTAACTCTATCCCTTCCTATTGGGTTATCAGTAATCGTCGAATTCCTAGACATATTTTTGAAAATAACCTGGCCTGACAAAGCATTCTTCTCTAGCTAGTTATTGGTAATAAATTTCCTTGACCTGTTTTCATTGATTGGGAAAATATTTCACTTTTGCCAGCCTTCTTGTTTGGTTCACTTGCTGCTGGGTGTAGCAGTTAATTTACATTTTAAAGTGCTCTTAGATTTGCTTTTCGTGATACCTTTTCAGGGATACTGCAGGTCAAGAGAGATTTAGGAGTCTCATACCAAGCTATATTAGGGACTCCTCTGTTGCTGTCATTGTGTTTGATGTTGCAAGTATGTCACTTTTCGATATTATGAAGTTTTTTCCTGATCATACTCAATTTATGTGTAATCCTTTCTTATAGATTCTTGCTTGGAAAAGAATTACATAGATGATATATCCCTTGCTAAAGTGACTTTGTACTTTTAATGGTTCCAGGCAGGCAGTCCTTCTTAAATACTTCAAAGTGGATTGAGGAGGTTCGAACAGAGAGGGGTAGCGATGTTATTATTGTCCTTGTTGGTAACAAAACTGATCTTGTTGACAAAAGGTAGCCATAACTATTTCATTCTCGTTTTTCCTTTTTCTTTCTGGAGGGTATGGGGGGTAAGAGCGGCTTTTTTTGAGACTAGTGATGTGTAATCTTTACCTTCCGTTATGTATTTTTATCACACATCTCTTTCATTTTACTGGCCTTTTCTTCCTGCATTTTTGGCTACGTGATGTCGAGGTCTCTACTAACGATCCTTAACCTTCTTACCTATCTTGTTCTCTGCGTCTACCTCATGGAGTGATAAAGTATTTGTCATTTTTTTGTATGTGCTAGAAATTCCACTTTATGTGGAAGAAAGAGGAGAGAGTTGTAGTGAGAATTTCATGGTCCATTATGTTTAGGGTACGCCCATTTTTGCTCCTTGCAAAGTGTAGTGTGTGCCTAAGGAAATGGTTAAATATTTGTGAGCTTTGTGTTGTGTTGTATGCTACTGGAGTTTTCTGCTGTTATGAGTAGTTTATTATTGCTACAGTAATGGCAGAATTCTCATCCGCTCGTTGGTCCTGTGACAAATTGCAGGCAAGTTTCAATCGAGGAAGGAGAAGCAAAAGCTCGCGAACTAAATGTGATGTTCATTGAAACCAGTGCGAAGGCTGGCTTCAATATTAAAGTGAGTAATGTTAGCTTTACACTTGGCTTCAATAAAATGTGAGAAAGTTTATCTTTCGTATGGGAGATTACAATCTGCATCATTTGTGCTGTCATGCTAAGAAGATCAGGCTTTGATGTTTTCATGTTATTGTTGTGAACTGTTTATTCTTGCACCCACTTGCTAGTTTGTTGCTGATAGTGCATAATCAACCTTGCACAGCCTCTTTTTAGAAAGATTGCAGCAGCATTGCCAGGAATGGAGACACTGTCTTCAGCTAAGCAAGAAGACATGGTTGATGTCAACCTCAAGTCAAGCAACTCAAATGCGTCCCAATCACAACCACAGTCAGGAGGATGTGCTTGTTAATTTTATGGTTTGCAATTCTATAGCTTTCAACTCAAGTTCTTAAATTTTGTTTTCCATAACAAATGTGTCTGTAAATTTCTTTCTTGACTTTCGAAACATTTGAATACTTTGAGTTTTATTTTTTGTTAAAGTTGGATACAGGAGGTTGTCGTCCTAGTTGGGTAAGATCTAGCATGTGTCACTTATTTGTATTTGTCTCTAGACCTATGCAATTCAGCAGTTCTCCTTTTGGGGAACAACTCTTCTAAGCGCATACTATCAGTTGATTCGTTGTGGTTCTTTAATAGGAAATTTTGGTTGGACTTGCTTGAGTAAGTGATGGTTGAACAGGATGTAGCTTTGCTAGTACAATACTACTCTGCTGTGACATACTTTTCTGCAGATCATTTTCTACCCTTGCGCGAAAATTTGTGTATGGTTGAATTAGATGGTACTATAAAAGCAGCTACATTATACTTTCTCATAAGTTTGTACTTCTCGCTGGAATGTAGACCAAATCCCAATTTGTCACTTTGAGTTATCTAAGAGTAAATAGTTCGTGTTCCTCTGTCAACGTTGTAACAGGAGTGTGCTTGTTATTACTGATTTATTCTTCTCATGTTCTGAAGTATTGCAGCAACATTTGTTAATGTCAAGCTTTTGCTTTACATTTATAAATCAGTTTCAGAGTGCTAGTAATCTTGAATACGGGTTAGTTTATTGAACTATGATTAATGTAATATCCTCGATTGATTAGGAAAATTCTGATTCTACGTTCTCTCATAATGATAAGAGCACTCTTCTTACTACGCCATATGAACGACATGCAGCCCAAAATCTAGCCCATTAACCCTTGACTGGTTCTGTGAATAGCACCTGGATTGCCGTGGTGTTATTGATCACCACATACTTTATTCGAGTTGAGATCCTATTCCACGAGATTTTTGTTTCGGCGAAGTTCCAAATATACTACTGTACTTTCGAAAATGGTCTAAAAATACACTCGTTATACTATTGGGCTATATATAACCTTCCCTCATACTTTGGAACAAATATACCCTTATTTTGGATGGAGTGCCACGTGTCAGTACCAGATGAAAACGACATTTTATTTTTTACCCGATCCGTTTTAAAAAAACCCACCACCCGACCCGTTTTAAAATTCAGTTTTTTTAAAGTATATATTTTGTAAAAACTGAAATTTATTTTTGTAAAAACTGAAAAAAAGGAATTTGCAAAATATATATTTTTAAGTCTTTTCAGTTTTTTTAAAGTATGTTTTTTGTAAAAATTGAAAAAAAAATATTTTTTAAAAAATGCTTTAAAAATTGAAAAATATATATTCTGTAAAAACTGGAAAAAAAGAAATTTACAAAATATATATTTTAAGTCTTTTCAGTTTTTTTAAAGTATTCTTTTTGTAAAAATTGAAAAAAAAATATTTTTTTTAAAAACGGGAAAAAAAAGACTCTCCTAAAGCAGTGAACTATATATGCATTAGTTTTAAAAAAATAAAAATATTTTGTAATTTTTTTTTTCTTCAGTTTTTACAAAAAAAAATACTTTAAAAAACTAAAAAAACTGAAAAATATATATTTTGAAAATTCCTTTTTTTTTTCCAGTTTTTACAGAATATATATTTTTCAGTTTTTAAATTATTTTTAAAAAAATATTTTTTTTTCAGTTTTTACAAAAAACATACTTTAAAAAAACTGAAAAGACTTAAAAATATATATTTTGCAAATTCCATTTTATTTTTTTCCCCAGTTTTTACAATATTTTTTTCCAGTTTTTACAAAATATATGCTTTAAAAAAACTGAATTTTAAAATGGGTCGGGTGGTGGGTTTTTTAAAATGGATCGGGTAAAAAAAGGAAATGGGTCGTTTTCATCTGGTGCTGACACGTGGCACTTCATCCAACATAATGGTATATTTGTTCCAAAGTATGACGGGGAGGGTACATATGACCCAATAGTATAACAATGAGTATTTTTAGACCATTTTCGAAAATACAAAGATATATTTGGCCCTTTGCCGTTTTTGTTTTTACTTCACTAAAGTGGAGACAAATATTAGTGATAGAAAAGAAAAGGGAAATACGTACGAACATATTCCAAGCCAGTGTTCCACAAGATATTTTGAATGCAGCGAAACTATTGAAACGGTTATATTAAAAAGAAAATTTTCAAATTGATACGTCTTTATTTTGTTTCTGTAATTTTTGGCAGAGGATAGGAGAGCTCTTTTGTTTCCGGCTTGTGAAAAGATTATCCCGGTTCAAAATTTGCATCACTAATGCCTACTAAGTCTACAACATTTGATTCCCTACATATAACTCTAAATTATAGATAGAACACTTTGTGCGTTAATATTATTTGCATAACTTATGTGAAAATTCGTGCTTGTTTTATGTGTGATAGCATGTGAAAGTTGAAATCAATACGTGTGTTACTGTTATCAAAGCACCTCAAATGACATTAATACTTTTAAAGAATAGCTTCTCGTTTGGTGTAGTAAGGATTCTTGATCAATTTTTATGTTTTATAGGATTCAGAGCGTTTCTTTTTTCTGTGCGTGTATACATATACACACTACTTAGTGACACTTCTCGTTGACTTTAGAGTGTCATAATTATTACTTGTTCACCACATAATTCAGTCTTATTTATTTATTGCCGTCATTATACAGTAAATTTTTATAATAAGTGTTTATATAACTAGTCTTTGCACCAAACGCCAAGCTTTATCAGCCTCTACTTTACTCAACCAAATATACCGAGTCTAAATCCAAGTTGACAAACGTTACGCAACACGATACATTCTCGTTTTTTTTGGCCTTTTTCATTTGATGGTGAATCAAATCGCCTTTATCTAATCCAATTAAGAAGTAGTCAAAACATATTGTGCACAAAACTATGATGTTCTCATTTATTATTCCTCACGGGTCGGCCAAATACTTTCCCCACGTGTCATCTTCCCATTGGTTAAAACGTGGGCACACGTCAATTTCACCTATGTCCAGCTCAGCTTTCTTTCCCCTTCATGGTCATCTTGATGGCCCTTCGAAATATGCCTTCAATTTCCAACGTTCTTTTCCTTTTTTTAACAATTTGTTTTACGTAATATTTAGGGGGTAAGTAGAGGATTCTGGTTGGTTTTGGGTCCCGGGGGTGCTACTTGTAAATTCGCCATTCGGCCATCTAGTCGAAGACCCTCCATCCAAAAGTTTTGTCCTTTAAATTTGCAACAGTCAATTATTTGTATTTTATTGAAGTTCCGTTCTTCTCTGAGACTTAAGGCTGCTGAGCTGTGGCCGTTTGACCAAATTTCTTCCTTTTTTTCCACCATGACAGGTCCTCTTTTTCATCTTTTTTCTGCATGTTCACATAAAATCTTATTCAATTTTTGTTTATACTTCGTGGGTTTTTCGTTTATTTATGGTCAATGGGTTGTTTCAAATTGAAAAGGGAATTTTGGGTTTCTGTGGCATGATTTTTCTGTTTATTTTCTGATCACTCTGTTGTTTTAGTATTTTGGGTTGCGTTGTGATAAGCGGATCGAATGGATTCATATAACTTTTGTTTCCCTAATTATGAATAAAGAATTGATTTCCAGTAATTCTCTTTGAGTATCATCCATAAATTTGATAAAAATCTTATCTTTTTTTGGTTAAGCAGTAAAAATAGAAGGGAAAATGATAAAATAGTTTTTTTTCCCTTTTGGCAAGTACGAGTGTAAGTTTTTACATATTCAGCTCTGAGCTATTGTTATATCATACACTTCAGGTCGCTGTGGGGTAAGCTTTATTTTCTTTTTCTTTTAAATGGTGGAGTCAAAATTTAGCTGAAGTTAAAAGCACTTTTTTGTGAACTGCACTAGGATGTTTTTGAGTGCTAATGAAAAATAATGTGTCCTTTCTCTAGATTTTTAATCCAGTAATCCATCTTAGTCCACGAAGTCATCACATTTGAGCACCAGGAGCGGAGCTAGAGTATATGTACGGGTTCGGATGAATCCAGTAGCTTTTGCTTAGACATGGTATTTATATAAAGAAATTTATTAAATATATAAATATTTAATAGCGAACCCAATAACTAAGATGAGCTATGGGTTCAATGGCAAGTTTAGAGCCCATAAATCTGGCTCCTCCTCTGTAATGAGCACCCCCAAGAAATTTAAAGAAAAGGCTGGATTGCTTCTGTTTGGTAATGGGACATAATAGTAGTTGTTGTTCTTGCATTACTTCTCAATTGTTGTCCTTAATAATTGCTTGTGCTTGTTAAAAGGATATTTGGATACAAAGAGACTATGAATTTGAGGTATATTTCTGTTACACTATATATGGGATATTAGAGGAGAGAGGACAATTGTCTACTTGCAATCAGTGGCTATTTTCAGAAGTTCCATCTATAACCTCTCTTGTATTATGTCTTTGGTTACATGATCGGTTGTGTTCTTTGTATTTGGGAATACCACTCTCATTATGTCCTCTTGTTCTAACAGCAGATAATCAGCAACCAATTTTGGGAAAAGATGGTACCTCAAATGGGCAGCATCCGCTGGCGAAGCTGAACCGTCTGCACTTTTGGCTTCTATTGGCACTCAACATTATTTTCTTGCTTGCTGGTCAAGCTGCTGCTGTTATTTTGGGACGATTTTACTATGACAAGGGTGGTAATAGTAAATGGATGGCCACTCTCGTCCAAACAGCTGCTTTTCCTGTTCTTTTCATTCCTTACCTTTTCATTACTTCTCCTCAAAATGATTCAGAAGGCTCCAATCGAGCTTCTTTCATCACAGTTAGCGTAGTCTATTTCGTAATTGGTGCAATGGTTGCAGGAGATAACATGCTATATTCCATCGGACTATTGTATCTCTCTGCTTCTACGTATTCCCTTATTTGTGCAACGCAATTGATTTTCAGCGCAGTCCTTTCTTTCTTCCTAAACGGTCAGAAGTTCACAGCATTGATCATGAATTCTGTGGTCGTGCTTTCTTTATCTACTGCTCTTCTTGCTGTGAACGATGATACGGATATGCCTTCAGGCGTAACTAAGTGGAAATATGTCATTGGATTTCTAGCTACTCTTGGTGCTTCAGCTATGTACGCTCTCTTGCTTTCTCTTATGCAGCTTTCATTCCAAAAGGTTTTAAAGAAAGAAACATTTTCTGTTGTTCTGGAGATGCAAATTTACACAGCACTTGTAGCCACCGGTGTCTCTATTGTGGGTCTTTTCGCTAGTGGAGAATGGAAGACTTTGCAGGGAGAAATGGGTAGTTTTACTGCTGGAAAACTTTCGTATGTGATGACTCTGGTTTGGACAGCTATAGCTTGGCAGATTTGCTCAGTTGGGGTTGTAGGCTTGGTTTTCGTGGTGTCCTCATTGTTCTCTAATGTTATAAGTACGCTTTCCTTGGCGATCACCCCTATTGCTGCTGTCGTAATCCTCCATGACAAGATGAATGGTGTGAAGATAATCGCCATGCTGATGGCAATTTGGGGCTTCGGGACTTACTTATACCAGAATTACGTCGATGATCTTAAGGCAAGGAAAGCACCAAGCGCTGTTGATGATGCTCCAACCGAGTCAAGATCTTGCTGAAGTCTTTAAGCCCAGGCAAGTGCATAGGCTATAGTTTTAAGAATTGTTAAGAGTTTTTGGACTAAAAAGATTTAGATTACTTGTTTGTAGTTAGAAATTTTGCTCTATTAGAACTATCATTTACAAATGCCTGTTTAATAGAATGGCAGTTTAGTAGCAAACTTCTGTTTTTCATGTCATTAATAACAATGAACAGTTTAGTGGCAGAAGAGGTTTGATTAACATTATTTAGATGTAAGGTCTAGGATTCAAAAATCCCTGTAAAAAATATGATATTCGTGATAGAACAGAAGTACAAAAAAGAGGGGAATTTTCAGAAGTAGTGGCATATGAATCAAGCTTACAATTATTGTAAAAAATTAGACTCTTTAGTCCATTCAGAGCAGTAATGGGAGAGAATTTAATACATACACGAGTATACTATCCATGTTCTTTTTGTAAAAAACGGAATGGAAAATGACAATTATGTCAACCCATGGAAAATATGCACTAAGAAGAAAAAAAATGTATCAAAGTTGAAATTCTTTTTGTTATCTAATCTAATAGATTTTCCATCTTTATTGTGCAAAATGCAGCACAAAGTAAAACAATTAATTTTGACTGATTCTCTTGAAAAGGCACGTCAGATTGCCGTGGTGTTATTGATCACTCATCGTTATATTCGAGAATTGTTTCCCCGCTGAGATATTCCTTTTTTACTCTATTAATGCATTTTATTTTAGTTATAAAAAAGAAAAACAATAAATATATAGGAATATATTCCAAATTGATACGTCTTTCTCAGTTTGGATTACTTTTTGGTATAATTTCCTTTTCAATCTGAAAGTGAGTATTGAAGTTGAGGAAGAAAAAGAACAATTTCATATATTCTCGCCTCATTAACTAACCAATAAAATCCTTAAAGATTATTACTACTCTTGTACAATGTAATCAGGCACGCATGATTCATTACGTAATTTACAAGAATATGGACATTCGAAGTAGAGAATAGTCATCAGAAATTACTCTCTATAAATGCTATTATCATCCATTTATGATATAACTTCTTTTCTACTTTACTAGCTTTTAAGAGTACTATCATCTAATTGTTCATGTAGAGAAGATATTCATCTATTTTCGGGAAATTTCCATAATTACATATGAAATCATAAAATATTCCATAATCTACAATATATCCATAAAAAAAAAGATATCTTCCAAATGGTACCTTTCCGTGTAAATAAGGACATTGACTATGAACCATATTTAATTATCCCTGAAAATCCTCCATTCCGTTAAATGTTGATTATTAAATGTAGATTATCAAACTAGATTTCTTTCTTGGCAATGATAGGTACTCCATTTTGGTATATTGAAATTGAGATTTTGAGCACCAACAAGTTTGTGGATATATAAGACAGTGTTTCGATCCTAACAATCGGTATCAGAGTCAATGGTTTGGCGAAACGAGCATGGAGATGGCAGAGTGATGGCGCAGTGCCTTGTTTAGTGCCTTTATCCGTCTATGGGCCGATTTACTACCTTTACCCGTAGTTTCAAAGACGCATATACAACCTTTCCTCTGGCTTTGATGACCATAAATACTCAAATCATATGCGTTACACTTAGTTAATGGGGAAAATGATATTGTATAGCCGCTCTCAAAATAATAGCCGAATATATATATATTTTTTGTATATATGTACATTATGTATGTTATATACAAAAATTATACAAATTTTATACACTTTTTCAGCTATCGAATGTAAATAGTTTCTGGCGCGAGCTAAAAGTGATAATAGCCCTAGTTAATGTCCAAATTAGCCCATGAATGGTGATGGGTCATGTGGAACTTAGTTCAAAATAGAGATTGTTGGGTGTGTGAATGAATAAAGTCCCACATGGAAAATAGAAAAGAAAAATAATCTACTTATAAGGAGTTGGATACTCTTAATGGCGTGAACCTTTTTGAGAAAATCATGCGGACTTGGCCCAAAGCGAATAATATCACATGATGTTAAAAATATCTTTGGGCCGTTTTAGCCCATTGTGCATTACACATAAAACATTCAATTAGCACGTTTATTAATCGCTATAATAATTTTAATATAACTTATATGGTAATTTATGTATCATTTTATGTGAAATAAATACTTATATTATCACTCTTTGAATAGGAGTATTAAAAATGACAAAATATCCTTAAAGTAAACTCTTATTGTAGTAAAGGTATATACATTTCTTTAGTAAAAAAACAAGAATTATCATAGCATTGTAGCATGGAAAAGTTCTTACTAATTTTTAATTTAAAAATTATAACCTATTTGTACGTATTTATAGGACAAATTCTTGTATACCTTGGTTCACCAACAACATATGGCCAATACAAATGCACAACCATTACGCAAAACTTATTAGGTACATACAAAACTTATCTTGATATCAATGCCTCCAAATTGATACGTTAATTAAGCACTAGACCAAGAGTACACTAACATAATACATGAATTGACTAAGACAATTTTTCCAATTGAATATGTCGGATTAATATCAAAGTTCGAATCACCATGAGCCTTTGAGTATGTTGAACTTTTTCTTGAGAACTTGATACTCGCAGTGAAGCTTTTTAAATAATTTTTGTGTACAATCTTATGGTCCTTAAATACTTCAAATATTTCTTTATAGATGTATTAAAATAAATTAAGAGGAAGGAGAAAACTAGCAGCATGTATATATAGCCACTATAAAGGCATTTAATTTGGGTGAAATTCAAAAATAGCCAGATTTACAAGTTGCTAATTGAAAAATAGCCACAGTTTCAAAAGTAATCAAAATTTAGCCACTTTTCATGTAAAGATAAATCTGAACGAAAATACTGTTCAAAATCCGGAAAATATTCCAGCATAATATACTGGAGTTCGATTTTTTTACATGTGAACTTCCAGCATAATATGCTGAAAGTTCATACACATGTGCTCCAATCTCTAGTATATTATGCTGGAACTTTCCGTGTGCTGGAGTTCCAGTATAATATGTTGGAAGTTCATATACAGGTGCACCAATCTACAGTATATTATGCTGGAACTTTCCTTGTTGCAGTAAAATAGTAGCTATTTTTCAATAACTTTGCAAACGCTGACTATTTTTCAATTACCATTTTGAAAACTGACTAGCCCGTACTATTTCACATTTAATTTGTGCTTTCTGAATCACGTCAAGTCGAAGAGGGGGGATTTGGGCCTTTCTTTGTGCTTCCTTCGTCATTAGTAATTTATTAGAGCAAACTTCATTTATGGCCAGCCGCTAGAAACTGATATCAACCGCTAGCCACAAAATTGCAGTATGCATTTTATAGCCCAAAACTAATTAAAAGGCTAGCCACCGACCCAACTATCACGGAAATACAGTGTTGTCGCCGCCATGAACCCCCCCCCTCTCTCTCTATTTTTCTTCCTTTCTCTTTCAACCTGGCTCTATATATCTATCTATATGTGTGTGGATTGAATTGAATTGATATATGTATAGAGATTTGGGGGGTTTTGAACTTAGGGTTTGGGAGAAAGGGGGAAGAAAAATGGGTCCGCGATCGAAGTGAGAGGGGGAAAGAAGGGAGAAAGAGGGCTCGAATTTCATGAATGGTTCTGAGTTTTCTTCATTTGAAGCCCCTTTTGTTTTCTTCCAAAATTTTCATTTGTTGGTTGCTGTTTTTTGTTCGTTTGACTTTTCTTGGTCACACTTCACTAACTTCCTGTTTTTATGATTTAGGGAAGAACACTCAAGTAAAAATAAGGAAGGACTTTGATGGAGAAGAAGGTTCAATATATACCATCATTCAAATCTTAGAAATTATCCACTAAAAATACTTTTTTATTTATTTTATAATACAACAAAATCAGTCAAGCTTGGATGGTTTCCTACAAAGTGATCTTATTGTTATAAACTATTAAATTTTTAATTTTTTATCTCATGCATAGTCTTCACTATATAAAATATATACAAAATAGACTGTCACTATATAAAATATATATAAAATAGACTGTCATTATACAAAAAATATATTAAATAGACTGTCACTATACAAAATAGATTGCCACTATAAAAAATATATAAAATATACTGTCATTGTATAATTTACATACAATAGACTGTCACTATATAAAATATATACAAAATAGACTGTCACTATACAAAATATATACTAAATAGACTATCACTATACAAAAAAATACAAAATAAACTGTCACTATACAAAATATATACTAAATAGACTATCACTATACAAAAAAATACAAAATAAACTGTCACTATACAACAAATATATAAAATAGACTGTCCCTATACAAAAAATATACAAAATAGATATTTTGGGCTATTAGATGTAATATGTTTGGGCCGGAGGGTCATTTTCTGTCAATGGATAAAAATATGGGCTATTAAAATTTTGAGGGGCTATAAAGGGTAATTTTCTCAATTTATTATCTGCATTACGGCTTGATAGTTGAGTTGTTTTTTTTTATACTATAAGAAGATGAAAAAAATAAAGGAGCATGATAGTATACAGTAAAATTTTGAACGGTTTATACACATTTTTCAACCATTGGGTATTTGGAATGCCCTAAGCTCATTAATCGGATTTCCAGCCGTAGAAAGCTCAATATGGAGTTTTAACTGTTTACCCTAAAAATTGAGTAACAATTAAACTTATATTGTGGTTTTAAGGATATGTGATTTAACCCAGTACCAATTGATAAACAGCGAATTAAATAGATAAATTGGACAATAAAATGAATCAAACTGGTCTGCAAACAATGCCTCGACCTCGACTCGAGATAGTCTCGAGGTTAGTTAATAAGAACAGTAGAGGATGGAACAAACAATAATGAATAGTGATGAACAGTAAGTAAAACAAAGAAAGTAGCATATGTGTATATTCTTATAAGTGAATAATGATTCTACTCCTTACAAGTGAATGTGATCCCTCTTTATATAATAGAGAAATCCTAAATAAGGTACAACTCTAATAACAGAAGTAGATCTCATGATTGGCACTAATAACTACTTTGATTTGATATGTTCTGGGATATTTGCTGTGATCTTCGACCGGTTACTGATATCTCGCCATTCCGTTATTACGCCTTACTCGAAGTCAGTCATGCTTGATCTCGATTATTGCTGGCCTCGACCTCAATGAATACTTCGATCTCCAGGATTGATGTTCTATCTTCGAGCTCGAGTCCGATCTATTATGAGGTTACCCTCGGGGCAACTCCCCTGCCAACGAAATCGGATATGCCCGATTTCGACCGTATACAGATAGTCCCCTCATTTTTTGGAGTGTAATGAGAAGAAACGAATTTGAGACTTCGATTTAATACCTCGATCAGTTATGACGTCAACATCGTGACGTAAGCGACAGAAGTGATTGAAGCGTCATGTTTGCACAGTTCCCGAGGTCATTAATTAACGGCAGTTGATGGTCGGCCACCATTGCTTTCAAACCATCAAAGTGGCTATTATAAATAGACCACCTTCATAATCTTCTCAAACTTTACTTTCAAACTTCTTCTAATCTTCAAAAGCTCTTATATTCTCTTCAAGTTCGTCAACTTTGTCGGTTTTCGTTTGCCAATCTCTTATTAAAACACAAATTATGTCTTTTTCTTCCTTAAACCTCATATAGCAATGGAAAAAATATCAAAGACCGTTCCTCAAGAAGAAAAGGCCTCCTCATCACGGCCGGCCGGTCACAAAACACCAGTGGAGCCACGTATCGAAGAGTGCATCCCCGGGCCATGTGAACTTACTTCCAACTTTAAAGTCGAAAAACCCACTTCGGTTCCTGGCTGATGCGAGCCTATGTCTAGATACATCTATTCGATATTCGAAGGCGATATCGAGCAGGTGAAAAACGACTGCCACTGGGAGAATAAAGAGGTGGTGATTCCTACCCCCGAGGAGGACATCACCACTCATGTGAAAGGGTTCTTAAGTGTGAATACTTACCCTTTCACACTGGGTTCTGTCGATCCTGTCATAATTGACTTCTGCCCCAATACCGAGTAACCTTAGGCCAGATCTACCCCTCTTTTTGGCGCATTGTCATTTTGCTCAGATTCTTCTCGAGCAAGGCCGAGGGGATGTCTTTCACCCTCGATCATCTCATTAGGCTATACAGCCCCCGTCTTTATTGGGGTGGACTGATAAGACTTCAGCATCGGGCCACGAAGGTGCTGTTCTCTAGCATAGACGAGGACAAAGACCGAGGATGGATGGGCCAGTTTGTCCGATTTAGGACCTCTGATTTAATCGAGAAGATGCCATTCCCCGAAGAATGGAACATGAAGAGTAAGTAGAACCTCACCGATAACGTTTGATTACTTGTTATGTTTCCTTTACCTCTTCTCATCTATATTCTTCTTTATGGTGCAGCTTCCCCCTGCTTTCCTGGTGCAGTCCCGGACCTTGCAGGTTAGGTTCAACAACTGGTTTCAAGCTCTTCATATGCTGAGCGCTCGTGGCGCGATTTGGCCAAGGGTTGTTGGGAGGCCAAAAATCATGGTAAGTTCCCCTGTCCGTGTTTGATGCTTTCCTGTGAAATGCTTCTTTTAAACTTGATTTCTTATCATGCATGTCTTGTAGACAATGTCGTCATGAGGCCACCTCTCCCCGGGGAAGAGGAGGTCCCGAAGCAGACCAAAGACAAGAAAAGGAGAAGGGCCTCGCCCCCAGATACCCCAAAGCCCAGGAAAAGCAGGGCTCGAAAGTCGAAGACTGATCCCGCCGTTCTGTCTGTCGATGTAGTCCAAACACTACGAGATGAAGACGAGGAGGGAGAAGATACCGACTGCCTGCTGGTGGCTCGGAAGAACGGAGGTATCGAAGCTTTGAGAACTGCTGAGCCAGTGACGGTCGAGGAGGATCAGCCGCAGACCGAGGTGATCTCGGAGGAAGGTCCTAGCAGAATCCCCGAGTCATCGGGTGTTGATGATGCCTCCTGCCGTGATGAGCAACCGGCGGGTGTGCCCGAATGGTCTAGTTCTGAGGCCTTTTAAAGAGAAGATAATGCCCAAAGTGACTCGCTCGGGGCAATTAACATTGATGATTCGCCGCCCGGCCCCACGTTCTCTGAGGGGCAGTTTCGGGATGCACGGTCTATGGGGACCCCCGATGTGGGGACGACCCCGAAGGGGATGATATATTTCGCGGCTGCTTTGCGGGGGTCGATGATGTTCCCGACCTGGATACATCACGTATTTTTGATGAGGCTCAACGGCTTCTGAACCAAGTGATTTTCAGCCCATGTTACCATGTTTGCGTTTGTTCTTATTTCTCTAAGTTTGATGTCCTTCCTTTCTGTACAAGCTACGATGCTCCATCGAGAAGCGTCCTCCAAATACCGAGCTGAGCTGGCCCGATATGAGGCCTATCTCAAAAAGCTTACGGAGGAGAGAGACGCCCTCAAACTCCTCTATGCACAAAAAGAAGAGGAGATCATGAGAATTCGAGCCGAGCTGACAAGAGCTCATCAAGATCAGACCGAGCTCATTGAACGGGTAATGTAAATTTTTGGGAACTTGTTATGTATTAACTTGATATTGGCGACTAACACTTTGATCATGTAGCTTCAGTAGAAGGCCAAATTGGTTGAGCAGCTTCATGAGGAGGCGAAGATGAAAGAGGCCGAGACTTTGGGGTGGAAGCAGAATATGGACCATCTCGCCTCGGAGAAAGATACGGTTCAGGCCCAACTGTCTTCGGTTGAGCATCAACTCCAATGTGTGGAGGAGGAGAACTTGGCCCGAGTCCAAAATGTTAAAGAGCTCGAGACTCGGTTGGTCGCTGAGCTTGCAAGGGCCACATCCGAGGTAGAGGCGCTCATGGCCTCCTACCGAGCCAATGCTGAAGCCGCTAACACTCGGGCAAAGGAATTTTCTAATGCTGCTGAGGTTAGATTGTCCCGAGTTGCTGAGCATGCTAGGCGCCAGTATCGAAGAGAGACTCTTGAGGAGGTACATGCTCGTGGCTTCGACCTCACGACTCATATCGAGAGTGCAAAGGTTTTGGAGGACGAGGCCAGAGCTTTGCTTTCCGATGATGAAGTCTCTGTGAATGGATCCGAGAGCGGAGGAGAAGAAGATGAAGCTCCCGAAGATGCGGCTCCCGAGGCGGACTAGGCACTTAGGATTTTTTCTCGTTTTGTTTTTTGTGTAAGACCCTGTGTGGTATTTGTAAATACTTTGCATCTATGAAAGATTCCTTTTCTTTCCGTTTCGTCTCCGATTTCTGATTTATGATAAATTCTGTTTTGCCTTTGCCTTGTGAAAACTTTGTTGCAGTCGGGTTGCTGTAGCCTCTATAATCAAGTGAGCAATAGCTCGAACTCATAGTAGAACAAACCCTTAGGTTTTTTAGTTAAGTGAGGGCGAGTCCCCGAGCTCAACAATATGTTCGGGATTTTGATTTCGGATGGCTTGATCGAAGCCGTAATTGTACTGTTTTTATAGACGAGTTCGAGTAAGTTTCGAACTCACAGTAACAGACCCTTTAAGGTTTTATATCAAATAATGATGAATCCTCGAGCTATATTCAAATCAGTTTTATTTGAGCTCAGAATAGTGGAACCCTTAGGTCCGAATTGAGTGAGAATAAAATCTCGAACTCTAAGTGTATCGCCCTTAGGCTCATTAGATTGGGCCGATATGGCCTCTAAAAGATGGCTATTTTTTCCCTTTTTTGGCTTAGAAGACTTAGTAAAACAATTTTATGCCTTAACACGTATTCTTTACCCATTGGTTTTTTTGAGGGTTCGATATCGATTGAAGCCCCTTTGCTTTTTGTGCCTTAGCACGTTTGTGTTAAGATAATTTGATACCTCTTAAGGTTTTTTGAGGGCTGATTTTATCGAAGCCCTTTTGATTATTTGCCGAGGATAGCCTTTTTTAATCGGTTTTTCAAAGAATTTGAAGGGCTATTTTTATTGCGGGATTCAGACGTCTCGAGCCGCCTTAATTTGGCCGTAGCCTTTGGGTATGCCTCTTGGGCTTATTTCCCAATAACACTTCTAAATTGTTCGAAGTGTTAGTCCCCGAGAATGATGGACTTGGCCTATAGATCGAGGGGTGCCTCTTTGAAGTCTTATGATTTGAGTTTAGATTACTCGAATATGTTGATCGACGACGACAGTCCCCGAGTGTACGAGTATATTTGCACTTGGCCCTTGAGCCATTTCTCATAAAATCATAAGTATGGAGCTTGTATAGTAGAAGAGTTTCTTTGAGACACAAGATATTTGATATAGAAAGAATGCTTCTTTGTATAATTTATACATGCGTACATATTTTGCCATCGGGGCTCGACTAATCTATATGGACACGGTTCATTCGACCGTTTGGCCCATTACAAAGTTTCCCTATCGAAACCCTTTGACACGAAGTATTTTCCTCGAAAGTGTAACATCCAAGGGTGATGCCCCCCAGTATTCAAGGTTGATTGTAAAGAAGCCTTGGATACTATTGAATTGTCCTTAGGTAGCACATAATTGTTGCCTCGTTAAAAACCTCGTCAGAAAAACCCACTTGGGACAAAAACTAATCTAAGGGAAAAAGAGTGCAACACATGCTTTAAAACCTGAAGTCTCGATGTCTTAGCAATAATACCATTTGAGAGGCGATATGTTTCAATTATTTGGCAGTTGTTTGCCGTCCATCGTGCCGAGCTTATAAGATCCCTTTTCGACGATGTCGAGGTTTTGGTAGGGTCCCTCCAAATTTGGGCCAAGCTTCCCTTCATTAGTATCTCAAGTGTTGATGGAGACTTTCCTCAGGACAAATCCTCCACTCTGAAGTGGCGAAGGTTGGTTCTCCTATTGTAGTATCTTTCGATTCGTTGCTTTTGTGCAACCATTCGAACGAGTGTGGCTTTCGTTTTTCATCTAATAATTCTAGGCTAGTATTCATAGCCTTGTGATTTGATTCTTCTGTTGTATGTCAAAACCTGGCACTGGGTTCCCCGACTTCGACTGGAATCAAGTTCGGAGCCATATACTAAGGAGAACGGGGTTGCCCCCGTACTGGACTTTGATGTTGTTCGATATGCCCGAAGGACTTCGGGTAGAATTTCTCTCTATTTCCCCTTAGCATCGTTCAACCTTTTCTTTAGGTTTTGAATGATAGTCTTGTTTGTCGATTCGGCCTGTCCGTTCCCACTAGGGTGATATAACGTTGATAATATCCTTTTTATTTTGTGGTCTTCGAGGAATTTCGTCACTTTGCTGTCGATAAATTGTTTTCAATTGTCACACACTAATTCGGCAGGTATCCCAAATCGACATACGATGTGATCCCGGATTAAGTCTATAACCTCTTTCTCTCTCACTTTCTCGAATGCCTGTGCTTCAACCCATTTAGAGAAATAGTCAGTCATAAATAAAATGAACTTAGCTTTACCTGGGGCCGATAGTAGAGGGCCGACGATATCCATCCCCCATATCATGAATGGCCATGGGGATAGGACTGAATGAAGTTGTTCTCCGGGATGATGGATCATCGGTACAAACCTTTGACATTTATCAGATTTTCAAACAAACTCCTTAGTATCTTTTTCCATGCTATCCCAATAGTATCCTGCTCTAATGATTTTGTGAATAAGTGATTCGGTGCCGGAGTAGTTCCCATAAGTGCCTTCATGGACCTCTCGTAAAACATAATTGGTGTCTCCTGGTCCTAAGCATACTGCCAATGGTCCATCGAATGTCCTTCTGTATAATGTTCCATCTTCAGCCAATGTGAATCGAGCAGCTTTGGTTCGTAGGGCCCTCGACTCTTTAGGGTCCGATGGGAGCTTTCCGTTCTTCAAGTATTCAATATATTTATTCCTCCAATCCAAGGTTAAGCTTGTAGAGTTTATCTCAGCATGACCTTCCTCGATCACGAATCTCGAGAGTTGAACGACAATCCCCGATCTGATCTCATCTTCCTTGACCGATGACCCTAAATTTGCAAGTGCATCAGCCTCACTGTTTTGTTCTCTAGGTACATGCTGTAAATTCCATTCCTTGAAACGGTGCAAGGTTACCTGCAGCTTGTCCAAATACCTTTGCATTCTATCCTCTCGAACTTCGAAGGTTTTGTTTACTTGGTTCACCACCAGTAAAGAGTCACACTTCGCTTCAATGACTTATGCTCCCAAGCTTTTAGCTAGCTCGAGACCTGCAATCATGACCTCGTACTCGACCTCATTGTTAGTCAACCTAGAAGTTTTGATAGATTGCCTAATAGTGCTACCCGTGGGCGGCTTCAAAATGATGCCTAGCCAGGACCCCTTCACATTCGAAGCACCGTCTGTGAAAAGGGTCCATACTCCCGATGATGTACCCGATTTTAACAAGAGTTCCTTTTCAACTTCGGGTATGAGGGTTGGCATGAAATCGGCCACGAAGTCCGCTAAAATTTGAGACTTGATGGCCGTCCGGGCTTGATATTCGATATTGTACCCATTGAGTTCGACAGCACATTCGGCTAATCGGCCCAATAGTACGGGTTTGTGCAAAATATTACGAAGTGGGTAAGTGGTTAATACACATATCGGGTGACATTGAAAGTATGGTCTTAACTTTCTAGAGGCACTTATCAGTGCAAGTGCCAATTTCTCTAAGTGTGGATATCTAGTTTCTGCTTCTCCTAAGGTTCGACTTACATAATAAACGGGAAATTGCGTACCTTGCTCTTCTCGAACTAGGACACCACTTACCGCGATTTATGATACTACCAAGTACAAGTAAAGTTGCTCATCTGCCTTTGGAGTGTGAAGCAGTGGTGGGCTCGATAGGTATCACTTCAATTCCTCCAATGCCTGTCGGCATTCCAGGGTCCAAGGGAAATCGTTCTTCTTTTTGAGTAGAGAGAAAAATATGTGGCTTCGATCCGACGACATCGAAATGAATCGGCCTAAGGCAGCTATCCGTCCAGTTAGCCTCTGCACGGCTTTTACACTGTCTACGACGGTGATGCCTTCGATGGCCTTGATTTTATCGGGGTTGATCTTGATCCCCCGATTCGATACCATGAAGCCAAGGAACTTGCCCGAACCTACCCCGAAAGCACATTTCTCGGGGTTGAGCTTCATGTTGTATTTCCTCAAATCTCGAACGTTTCCTGCAAATTAGCCAAATGGTCCTCTGCGCGCAGGGACCTAACTAGCATGTCATCAATATAAACTTTCATTTATTTACCTATTTGTTCTTCGAACATTATATTTACTAGGCTTTGGTAAGTAGCTCCTGTATTTTTTAGCCCGAAGGGCATTACATTATAACAATATGTTCCATACTTGGTGATAAATGAAGTCTTTTCTTGGTCTTCCAGGTTCTTTTGGATTTGATTGTACCCGGAATAGGCATCGAGAAAAGTAAGGATCTCGTGGCCGGTCGTGGCATCGATCATGCGATCGATGTTAAGCAGTGGAAAATAATCTTTGGGGCACGCCTTGTTTAAATCCTTATAATCTACACACATTCTAAGTTTGTTCCCTTTTTTAGGGACTACAACTACATTGGCTAACCATTCGGGATATTTCACCTCCCGAATGGACCCTATTTTGAGAAGTTTAGTTACCTCGTCCTTTATGAATGCGTGCCTTACCTCGGACTGGGGTCTTCACTTTTGCTTCACCGTTTTGAACCTAGGGTCCAGGCTTAGCCGATGCGTCGTTATCTCCGGTGAGATCCTTGTCATGTCTAAATGGGACCAAACAAAACAATCTATGTTATCAATAAGAAATTGAATAAGCTTTTTGCTGAGTTCGGGGGTTAATCCCATTCCCAGGTATACCTTTCGTTTGGGCAGGTACTCAAACAATATAACCTATTCCAGCTCTTCGACCGTTGATTTGGTGGCGTCAGAATCTTCGGGAACAATAAAAGTTCTAGGGGTCAGAAAATCCTCCTCTTCTTCTTGTGTCTCCTGCTTTCCTGATTCGGTCGAGGCTGGTGGCTGTGATTGCTATTTGACTTCCTGTTTACCTTTGATGCTCGACCTTTCCAAGGTTGATAGTGTCGATATTGGCATTACCTCATTAACCGCAAACATTTCCTTTACAGCATGCTGCTCCCCGTATACTATTTTTACACCGTCCGATGTCGGAATTTCATTATTTGGTGAAGAGTCGAAGGGACTGC